TACATAAAAAGGAACTCAAAGATTTTGTTTTACGACAACAGTATTTATCCCTCTATATTTCATTATCAGCAAATTCCACTGTAAGGATTACTTTGCAGAAATAGAGCCGGATGACAAATAAATCCAGAAATCAAAAGGCGAAAAACACATTACGTGAGAAATAAATTAACGTTCTAATCTTTTCAAATTAATCCACCCCAATTTTTCCGATCGTTTCCACATTACTGACTCACCTGGAAAGTAGCAAGGTAAGATCCTCAGAACCATAAAATTAACCTCTTAAGGGGACAAACCTCGAAGAAAACAACTTTCCACCAGTTCATAAATTTTGCTCAACAGCAATTAGCGATGAAAACGGCAGTAATAAAAACATCCGAAACAATATAGCGATTCCGCTTCCGTCGTAAATCAAGCCCTTGCTCCGTAAAAATCGATCGAACCAATTACAACATACGAGGTTCAACTTAAACATCCCTCCCTCCCCCACCAAAAGAGATATAAAAAAATATATAAGCTTCTGATGGAATTAATGATAGCAATTTATTATTCCGTAATTAATACAAAGATTTGGAAAATGACGGAAGACGAGTTTTTAAGGTAAAGAAAAAAATATTGGGTAAATTCAAACAATAGAAGGAGAGAGAGTAACAATCAACAACGTTAGAAGGAAGTGATTATTTTTTTTTCTCCCTCCCATTATTAATTATACTTCCGACTCGTAATTGAAAATAACGAAAGACTGTTGCGAATGCAGCTTACGGTTTCATTAATTTGCTTTGTGAAGAAATTTTGGGAGGGATTTAATGATTCTTTTAAAATTGGCTCGTTCAAACCACTTATTGTCATTTCAAGGAGAAGTTTTAAATAAATAGAAAGATTTGTGGATTCTTCTTTCCAAGTATCCGCTTTACGCTAGATTAAATTGCCAAGTTCAAAAATGAGTTAAAAGTTAATATTAAAAAATGATTTGTGCAAACAAAAGTCATCAGCGATTGCTTATTCCAAAGGAGAACTGGGCTTATCTATAAGGCTAAACTGCTGAACTACATAATTTAATTGTATATTAAGCGGAATTAATAATTGAATCATAAGGTTGTTCTTAATTAAAAACTTAATTTAATGATTAATATTGATACAATGCCCCAGGAGAATAAAAAACAGCCCCCAAAAATTTCAGTCACTCAGTTCACTAATTATTGAATTCAGAAAATCTGAAAACATTTCAGAAATGTACGAAAACCTTATATCGAATAATTTTTATTTAATAAAACATGTCCCGATGATTTTCAAATTAACTTCTTTTCTAATTGGAAAAGGTGGATTTTTATTCTTGCAATAAACAGACTACATTTTTCACAGAATTTTGTATTCATTTTATGTTTATTCAGTATTACCATATCATTCAATATTGTGCGGTTATGCAACTATTATGCCAAAAAAAATTCATTTTATTTCAATGTATATTATCTAATGACGTAACCATGCTTCCTCCTATCCAATAGCAAGAGCATCCCCCCCCCCCCGTAGCTGTCAAATGGTCAGTAGGCCTCAAGACTCTCACCGGGAGATGAAGTGGTGGAAGTATATTTAGCGCACCCTGCGCCCAGCCGAATTTCGGGTTTTCAGTTTAGAAGTGGAGTCTCTCCATGAATCTACAATTATATGTCTTTAAATGTGTTAAATATTGTATGTCTCTAATTCTGTGTGCCAATAAATCTGTTAGTTCTCTAACCTGTGTTTCAAATATTTCAACCCAATTACCCACAGTTACAATCTGGTTGGCCAACCTGCACATTACAATGTACAAAAGTCCTTATCGGCATTAAAATCATCGTCAAAAATGAATAGATTCGTTTTTTTTTTCTTTCGGCAAATTATACCATAAGTAAATATTAAGCTGCATATATACTACAATATAACATTTAGCAAACATTTTAGGTGAAGTAGAAAGAGTATCCATACAGATTAGTAATGATATCTTTTAGTAAATATAATATATATATATTTTGGAAAATCATGGCCAAAAATGAATAGATTCGTTTGCTTTTTTTTTTTCTTTCGGCAAATTATCCCATAAGTAAATATTAAACTGTTTATATTCTACAATGTAACAAGCATTTTAGGTGAAGTAGAAAGAGTTTCCATACAGATCCGCAATGATAACTTTTAGTATATATATATAAATAACGTATCTGTAATTCCGTCCATAAATGAAAACCAGTGTGGTGAGAAGGAAAGGCCAAATACTGCAGGCAGGCAATCTTAGCAGAGAATCATAAGCAGCTGATAAAGTTTATTGCCGGGGCGGAAGCAAACGGTAAAAAAAGAGCGAGAGTCGAAGATGCCAGCCCTTATACTGTGTCATCCAGGGCGACCAAGTGCTCGTGAGAGGGGATGGCGATTTTATTAGTGCAGTGGAGTTGCCTATAAACACTCCCAACGAAATGACAGTTTGATACCGAATGGAGGGACCGACGTCAAATTGAAGGAGGACACCTTTTTCAATTCCTACTATTAGTTCACACTCTCCCTATATATATTTATATATCTTGTTCAAACTTTCAATCGTTCATAAAATACTTTTTTTATTCATCCACTCGAGTTCAAATGCATTTTTTTTAAACTTATGGTAGATGACACTTGTTGTTAATGCAGTTTTTTCAAATTAATTAATTTAATTTAATTAATTAATCATATTTTTTTAGATTTAAGTTGCATGCATCTACCAGTAGATGGCGCCAGATGTAAGAGGAAAATTTCAACTTGAAATGAAAACAAATTCAATTCCTACTATTAGTTCACACTCTCCCTATCTATATCTTGTTCAAATTTTCAATCGTTCATAAAACACGTTTTATTCATCCACTCAAGTTCAAATACATTTTTTTTAAACTCGCAGTGGATGACATTTAATGTTTAATACAGTTTTTCAAATATTTTCTTTTCTTTTAATGCAGCTGGCAAATAGTCCGTGATCTTCGCCATAAGGGCTGCACTGATGTTACTCACTTTGCATTACCCAGGGGCGCGTGTAACTTGATGGTAAGCCACGGACGCGGAGTAACAATGCCAAAATGAAAAAATTGATATTAGTTGTAATTATTTAATAAAAAGTAACTGAAATAAATTTTTTTCTTTGTTGACCTAAGTAGGAATTGACTTAAAAATTTTTCTTTGTTGACCTAAGTAGGAATTGACTTAAAAAATGTTTGCGTTTATATTACTTGTTTTTTAATAAAGTTGCTGAAACAAATGGGTTATCAAATAACTTGTGCGTTTTAGTTTCAAGCTTTTTACGAAAATTATTTACGAAATGCTCACTTTTACGAAATTATTACGAAAAACTCACTTTTTATGCAAATTATTTAAATTTTAGAGATTTTTCAATATGAAAAATTATAAACTGAAACAGAAATAATTTGCAACTGTTTAAAAAGAGCAAGCAGAACTTGAACAGAGAAAGACAGAAACATATAGCAAAAGCGAATTAATATAGAACATTGTTTTTTTTTTTCTTTAAATACTACATAAATTCGGATCAATAGTTTACAATTAATTGGCCTTGAAGAAAAATGCCAAAAAATGAGCATGAATATATTTTCGGTTTTTAAAAAAAAAAATTTAATTAAGTATAAAACTGTGCATCGAATCGTGAGTGAGAATCGAATCTTTTCATTACTATTTTAAATTGCATAGAAGTATTTAAAATTATACAACAAAATGCAAAAAGAGAAAGAAAATTAACTTCGAGAAAATTCAAATATTCGAAATTGAAAACTAAAAATATTAAATAAATCATTTCAGAAAATAAATTTTCTCTAAAATATAATATTTATAAAAAATAATACATCAAACAATTATTCAGAAGAATTTAACTGATGTAATATTTATAGCACAGGAACAGTTTCAAGAATCACAATTTAAACAATTTCAGTTTTTAACTGTTCCCTTTATATGACATTCTGGGAAATATATATATATAATGTAAAGAAAGAACTGAGCGGATAAAGAATTTTGAGAAAAGTTTCTCATCCCACATATTACCTGACTGTATAAAACGTTCTTATTTAAAATTTTTATGCAATTTCCAGCACTCAATAGTTGATTAGATTTTTGCAAGTTACAGCGGTCAGATGATCAGTTTTCTTAACGCCCATATATTCTCCGCTTAAACAGGTAATTTGCATATAAAATAAGTTCTAAATCGATACAGAAGAAGAGCGAACAATTTTGTTGCCGTAATATGCTGACGTCAATACCTAAAATGGATGTCTATTGAGTATGTGTTAGAAGTCTATTTTTAAACATAACGCGCACTTTTCACTGCATTAATGTTTTGAATGCGCCATAATAAATGAAAGCCTCTAAAGTAAAAATACATATAAAAAGTATTTTTGAAAGGTGAACTTTAAAAAGTGAAATTCGTATTTTAATGAAGTGATACATTTTGATGTTGCGGTTATTAATTACAAGAAATTAATTATATTAGTATTTACGCAACAATTCCATGAAATATTTTGATTACAGACATTAAACAAAATGAAAGAGAAAAAAAGAGAAACATTTTCAAAAAAATTTAAATTAAAGTTTCGATATTTCATTACATTTAAAAGTAAGTTATTCATTATTTTAAAGTTTTTTATAAGTTAACGTTTCTAGAAGTGTAGATAATTTATGAATAGATGGTATATACTTTTGGAATTACAATTAAGAAAGTTTTAGCTTTTACGTGTTCTCTTTATATGTTTTTTTAATAATAATAATACATAGAATAAATGAGTAAAGAAAATGTAATATTATTTGACTGCTTAAAATGCTTTACTCAGCAGACACTAAACAAAAATGAAAGAGATAGAAAGTGAATCAGAAGAAAATTTAAATTAAAGTTTCGATATTTAAAATTTTACATTTTAAAAAATAAGTTATTCATTATTTTAAAGTTTTTATAAATTAACGTTTCTAAAAGTATAGATCATTTATGAATAGATGGTCTATTAGCCAACGGCCATAACATGCTGAATATACCGGTTCTCGTTAGATCACCGAAGTCAAGCATCATTGGGCGCGGTCGGTACTAGGGTGGGTGACCACCTGGGAACACCGCGTGCCGTTGGCATTCACAAATTTGGGACCTGAATGGCCAAGTGTCTAGCGCTCTGGCGCTCGGTGCCACAGGTTTCGGGTTCGAATCCCGGCAGTGACATGGATGTTTGTAGTGGTTCGGAATCCACTTTAAGCCGTAGGTCCCGGTCTCCTATGACTGTAAAAGAGCGTCACAGAGCCAAAGTCAGACTTCTACCTACGGGTGCTCCATCACAGCAGAAGCTGCTTCCTTCCCCTTCAATCATGAGTACGTGTGGGCTTGGCCAGCCAAGTGGGATAAGAAACAACAAAACAAAACAAACAACATAGATGGTCTATACTTTTGGAATTACAATTAAGAAACTTTTAACTTTTTTTTTAGCTCTTTATATGTTTTTAATAATTATAATGCACAGAATAAATAAAAAAAAAAAAAATTAATATTATTTGACTGCATAAAATGTCTTACAAAGAATTTTTTATTCTATTTTAACAGTTTGTTGAACACAGGCACTATCAAGAAATAATATAACTAATATAATAATAATTATACCATTGTAATAAACCATAAATATAATTTCTCACAGATATCTATTTGAAAATCGACTAATAATTTTAAATATGTAAAAATAAATCTAAAAAGTGATATAATATTAAAAAGTTATTTCATTTCGGAACTTCAGTTTTTATATATGGTAACTTAATTTTTTTAAATTCTACTATGAAAAAAAAAAATTATAAGACAGAAATAGGTACTGACAAAAATAAGTATAGATAGAAATAGTTACTGACTGAAATAGGTATAGATAATTCTATTTCCTATGAACATGCCAACTGGAATAGAAAAAGGAATGCTTAGAAAAATAGACAGCCATCACAAAACAAAAAAGAAGGAAGATACAAATGTTTTCGAAAGCACAATTGAGTTGTTAACATTTTTTATCTTTTATTTTGACTTGACTATGAGAAAAAAAAAAAAAAAGGCATCATCACTTCATCTGTCTACAGCTCATTATGATTACATAGAATACAAACTACTGAAAAAAATTTCGCTATTCTTTTTCTTAAGACTTGATTTAACGACGAGAAATGTTTTTTAAAAAATAAAGTCAATAAAATATAATCTTTTGTTAAATTTTTAGCAGCATTTTTTTTTTATTTGTAAACAGCAATTAGTTTATTGAATTAAAAATTTTTTTTATTTAAAGAATGTAAAAGATGAGCAGAAAATCTTTAATATGAATTGAATTAAGAATTCAAAAGGAAAAAATCATCGTTCGATCTAGAAAACATTTTTGAAACTGTTTGGGCATTTTAATTTTAGGTATAATTAGAATAGAATGACTGAAAAGAATTTAAATAGTATATGTAACTATAATGTGCTTTAAAAAAACTGTAAAAACATTCGAAAACCTTGAATTGTCTCAATATTATTTAAGTATTTCAGTGAAAGAAATGTAAAACCCTAAAAATCACAATATCTTCTTTTCTTCCAAGAACATTTCAGGATAAAAAACTTTCACATAAAATTATTTACAAAAAGCTAATCAAACTAACTTTTAACGTGCTCTGAACTTTTTAAACAAAATTATGCTTTGAAATTCATTAACTCAATAGCGTAAAATATATAATATAAAAACATTAAATAATTTTTATTCCATGCGATTACTTTTATCAGCCACAGATTCTGGTGTTGATTAGCCAACAATTACAATAAAAACAATTTATATTTTAATAAAAACGTACTTTTCTGGATCTGTTTTTTACTGGACATTGTTTGCTTTGAAAAAATGTTTTTTCTGAAATGAATCTTTAATCTCAATGAAATGAATCTTTAACCAAAAATATGACAGCGCTCACAACTTCTTTTTCTTGTTTTACTGCTACTCTATGGGGCCAGTGTCTTTTATAGCGATCATAAGCCTTATCAGAGAAGAAAAACAGCTAGAGTTTCATTTCTCAGGAAAAAGCAATCTTCCGTAGACAGATGTCAATAACGCTTTGTTAAGGGAAGAAAGTAGGCGGGGGGACATCTTTTTATGGATAGCCGGACATTTTTCTTGAGGAAGGAACAAAAAAGTGAGAAAACACCAAGTCCAGAAACGGATTCGATTGAAAGCTTTCACATGTCAGGAAAAACTAGACAAGTCTAAATTATGCTATGAAGATAATGGACCACCGCAATAATGATGGATCGCTTTATAGGGGCCGCTTAATTACATCCAAGAAGATAGCAATGTTACGCATGAAAACGCAATTCTTGGGTACTGGATAAATATAATATTCATTTTATTTTAAAGTAATGGGCAAATTCATATATAAAAGTTATTCTTTAAGTTATTATAAAATTTCTTTATTACTGTAAAGGGAAAAAATTAGATAATGTGGAATAGACAAGATTTATGAATGCATACCAAGAATTAAGTAAACTTTCCTTTTTTTATTCTGTTGTTTAATAGTAAATGTTTAAACTATGAAATTGATAACATGAAAGAAGGATAAAATTACTTTTTTAATTACAAAAATTATACCAAAATAAGCAGACTTTTTATATTTCTTAAAATGTTTTAAGTTAAAATAATTTGAAACATTTAACAGGGCATTCATTAAAGAAGTCATATGCAGATATTCATACGCACACACACACAGATATATATATATGTATATATATCTGTGTGTGTGCGTATATATAGAGTACATATTAAAGGAGAAAAATATGAAAGAAGTCACGTTATTTTAAAAAAATATTTTAATAATGTAGGTACTCTAAATAAAATATTTTGATAAAGTAAATAAATATTTGATATTTGAAACAGTTTGATAAAATAATTAATACATCTTAAACAACGCACATAAATGCAAAAAAAAAGTTACTTCAGAAATTATTTTCATTTAACAGAATTTTATGGAATTAAAATATTTTTATATAATCTTAAAAGGATAATTATTCAGAATTTTATTCGAAATTTAACAAGAAAAACAATTTTTAGATTTCATTAAAGAGCACTATAAAGTTAAAAATTGTTTTCTTGTTAAGTTTCGAGAAAAATTCTGATTCAAAATAAACAAATAAACAAAAATTAAATCAGAAATTATTAGTTAAGACTGTATCTAAAGCCATGAGCTCATTACAGAATTTTTAATTGACTTCAGTTTCCATCATGCACATCATATGCATGCATTTTAAAATAAATTTCTCTTAATTATGACATTAATTACAATATATACATATAAGACTCATAAAATAAACTTTTAATTAACAAGAAATGAAATTCATTTTCTTAATAGCAATTGCATTTCCTATTTTTAAATGACTTCATGGCAAATGAATAAATAAAAATAAAGCGCAGACGGGGATTTCGAAAGCAAATATGATTTAAAAAAGCATTTATTTTCAATTTCAAGTTCCGGCGACGTTTGAATTGGAACAACTTTAACGACGCAGATAAAATAAAGTTTGTCCTCGTATTTTCCCTTTATTTCCACTAATGAGACCGAAGTTAATGTAGTTGAAATTTCAAAACTCTTATCTTTTTTTTTTTTTTTTTTTATCCCCAGTGAGGTTTTGCCTTCCAGTCTTTTTATAATCCCGCAATTAAGTGCGCATTAAATAAATGTCCGGAGTTAAAAATTCATTGTTATTTATGAAAGACATTTTCATTTTATTATTTCGAATGCATTGAATTTACTTGCATTTTAATTTACTTTATTCCATAGTTTTCTGTTAAATTTGGAAAGTTAAAATAAATTATTTATTAAATGTAAAGTTTAAAGTAAGAAATATTCAGCATATTTCTCAAGTTGAAAAAAAATTAAATCATTATTGTTGGTTTTTAATTAAAATTGATCATTATTGTTAAAAAAAATTGAAATATTAAGCACGAATATCGAACTGTATTGCATATGTATTATACTGTATGTATTATATGTATTGTGTATGTATTATATGTATTGTGTATGTATTATACTCAAATTAAAATTAAAAAAGGCCAATCAAAATGTAAACAAAAGAATTAATTTAAATAAATTATAAGTTAGTGTGAAAATTTTGATTTTGGAAGTCTAAAATAATGACAAATACAATAATAGTTGATATGAAATTTTTTTAATAATGGTTAATTTTGAACATCTTTGGTCACCATAAAAATAGCATTTAAGGTAAATCATATTTTAGACGAACACTCTCTATAAATAAATTTCTAAAAAGAGTTAAGTATCTTTAAGAGTTTTAACTAAAAAAAAAATTAATTTAATATAAGTTTTATTTGTAATCATTTTTTAAATTGAAAACTTCAATTCTATAAATGATCTGCTTAAGATGGAATGAGAAGAGAGAGATTATAAGAATACGAAATAATTATGGCGGATTAGAAGGAAAATAATCCAAAAATCTAAACATTCAAGAAGGTGAGATTGATAAAAAAAAAATCTCAATTAAACATTAATTCAAGAAAAATAGATTACTTGATATATTCTAAAAATATCTTGATTTAAAACGCAGAACTTAAAATTTATAAACACCCAGTGTTATTTATTTCACATAATTTTTATTTACCCAATAGTGCCATTTTTATGCTACATTTCAATTTAAATCTAGTTAAAAACAACAAGTGATTTATTTTCATTATTTCAAATTACATCTGTAAATATTTTAAGACAACGATTAGCAAAAAGCTACAATTAAAAATCTTGCTTTCCAGCATATAAAAGCTCGCCTCCAGCATTTTATTTTTTACAATCTCCAATAAAAAAAAATCTCATAAAATTAAGTTGAAACACAAAGTTTTTTGCTTTTAAACACCTCAAAACATTTACTTAGAAAAGAAACTCCGCAGTTTTTAATTAAATGTGCTTCATTTTTTAATCGCATTTCCTCGTCACCATTCCTGACAAAAATAATAAATAAATAAACCATTTTCGAACGTCGACGAAAAAGAATCGTTCAACAAATGGAAATAAACCATGAACGTGACACGTGAAAAAAAAAGTAGCAAAATATATTTAAAACTAACAATTTTTATCTTTTTCTA